AGTCGTGCATCATAGGAAGCTTCGCTATTCCGGGAATCAGCTTAGTTGGTTTTCTCTGAATCTAGTCTGTACACTTTTAGCAAAGTGACTCCATAGATATTTTGAGGCATGAGTTGATTAAGTAGCTGCTTTATCACCACAATGTCATGCACAAAACGAGTTTTTGGTTCAGAGCTTTCCCTTTTTTTTGATTCTATGAAAAAATAACTGTTCTGTCACTGTGATCGGCCTTCGATTTCTCGACTACTTTTATGGGGGCAAGATCCCCCTTCATATTATTATGTCGTTTCTTCTTTACAACCTGTACTCGTTCGTCGACGTTGCTTGGAGAAGCAACCACAGTTGTGTCAAACATACTGCGGAGTTCCGGAGGGTTGTCGACGACTTGAGAGGTCAGGTTATGTTTCCCACTAGAAATCGATAATGCCTTGCGATCGCAGCTTCTCGGCGTTTCCTGCTGGATACCATTTAGAAAACGGGTGACAGAAAAAACTTGTTTTCTTGAGTTTTTAGCTAAGACAGACCTCCTTGGAGACTGTTTTTCATCCTTTAATCGGTGTGAGTCAGCTGTTTTCGAACTCACCTGAGTTTGCTTCACACCGATTTGCGTGTCGACAGAGCGAGTACCGTCCGATGTGTTTCGACGACGCTTGTCAAAACGCTTTTTTCAGCATTTACCAATGAGATGGCCACGGTTAGCAAGCTGTTTGCATCCCAACAGCACTGTTGACGAAGCCATACGCAACGGTTCATACCGAACCGTTTAAAAACGTTAAATTCGTGCAAACTTCGTAGTACAAGCCTTTGCACTTATCGCACCGCATGCCACTTTCAACGGGATAACGAAAACACGGACATAAGCAATTTCTTTTTTTGCACTGTCCAGTCATCAAACTGGGGCCTTTTTCCAAAAAAAGAACTAGATACAATAATATTCAGAGACAAAAATGATATATGACCAAAAAATTGGAAAGCTGTAGATCGTTAGAACTAAAAGTACTAACAGATACAATAGAAAACAAAGTACTCAAAAGTTCCGACGACAAGCTGCTATAGCAACAGAAACAATACTCTAATCGAATACTTTAACCGAAATAATTAAAGTGAAAATGGTAGTTTTGATACGTAATAAACAATCAAACAATAGAATTTAACCAGCGAGGAAAACTGCTACTGTCCTTTTAATTAGCACGCAAAAGCGGAGTCGAGGTTCACTTCAAAAAGCTCAGTGCCATGAGTAGGTCTGGTGCTAGTCAGACGTACCCCACGTAAAGATGACTAGGTACTGTCGGTTCACTGTGTGTGTCCTATGGTCTTCAGTGGCTGTGGATAGGTGCATATTATAGACTGAGAGCTATGAACGACTACAAGTTAGTTATTTGATAGGGCCGTCTCTCTTATTTCAGACTGAAAAATCATTCGTGGTGGTTTCAATCTTTCCACCGTCAACTGGAAGACACTCTGGTTCAGTGTATTTATTTTCTTAGGCATACACGGTTGGAAGCAACATGTACACCTGCCTTCACGAAACCATGACATTCCCGACTTCATATTCCGTCTCAATATCACTTGGCGCGCCATTTGAAACGGGCAGTGGTATTGTTTCTCGTTGAGTTAAATTTACTGTTTTGATTGTAAACTGCCACTGTTTCCACTTTCATTGAATTTATTTCAGTTAAAGTATTGTCATACTTGTGTGTATCGACGTTGCTTTTGTGTATTTATTACAACAAAGCATACTTAATCGACTTTGACTTCATTTATTTTGGTTAAGGTTTGAGATTTTCTGCATATCCATTTTTGTGTCACAATTCTCAGTTAGCTTTTAAGATGGTCTGCTCCTCTCACAAATGTAAACAAACATATTGCAGGTTTCCTGTAGCGAATGGAATACAATGCGGTGAGTGTAAAGAGTGGTATCACAAGATGTGTACTCACTTAAATCTCATGGCATATGAAAGGTGCCCGAAGCCTAACTACCATTGACTTTGAGTGTTTTGCTGTTCGAGTGATACATTACTCGTCCGAAGAGACTATTAGACTTTGCACGTTGACTAACGAAAGGGTTAATCTGGGCTGTACTCGTGACATGGGTACTGGTAGCAAAAAATGTGTTAGTGTCGTAAGTGCTGTTACAATAATATTTATCCCTATCGTAAATCATTGAATTCATTTCAGTTAAATTGATATTACACTTGTCACTTCATTGTCTATTCTGACCAGTTTTATCGTAGGAATTCGCGATTTTTCGTTCTTCGTTTCTAAAGAGCACAATGAGTTTAGAGATAGACTAATATATTTATTGTGAGTAAAGGCAAGTTATCCTTTGTTGACCTTCTATTTATGTTAATTGTTGAATGGGCATTTTCCTAGTTATCTAATGTTCAGCTTTGAGGATTGTGAAAGCATACTACTAGGAAAAGTGTATCGTTTATAGATTATATATTTTAGGTTATAAAGCAATTCAACGCTAATTAGTTGTTCCTATTGTTACTCTTGTAATCTCATAATTGTCATGCACTATTTTGACGAATACTTCCGCATCAAGATTTCTAATATAGTCAGGGCGCCCAAATTCAGTGACTTTTTTCAAGCCATTTTGAAAGTGCTGATATCTCCGAGTCAATAAACCTGGACGTAATCTGAAGAATCAAAAGTGTTCAGCATCTAAACCGACACTGCCTACTCTCATATACTTTAAACCCGGTGAAGAGCATGAGTTGTTATTGTAATGGTTTCGTTATATCCCGATTTAACAATCATGTAACATGATTGATATAAGTGATAAATCTGAAAGCAAAATCAGTTGGTAAACTGACTAATAATCAGTTCCTCAAGCAAAGTGTTGTTTTCTCGCAGATAACTTTACCCATGACGGATATTTTCAGTAAATTTACCCTTCGGCTGCTTCAGCGGGACTTTGTCAATTTGATTAAAGTTTGACGATAGCCATTTATAGGTTTATACATCATGACATATTTACAATTTTAGGATTAGGTCTATTATTATCATAGTATTATTAACGAAGTAGACTATAATTCTATGAAGTCATTAAGCCTTTCATATTTGGAATAGGAGTTTAGTGGTGATGTTTCTGTGATATGTTACATATTATTGATGTAAAAAATTAATACAAAATGGTACATGCTATAAAGCACCTCAAACATTATAGATTATCTAGTGATCTAGTCAAGTAGGCCTGCACCATTTTCAGAATTCGTTAACATTTCGGGAGTTCACTGGCTGGGTTTGTTGTAGGCGTTCACAGAAATTTCGTTCAATTACTCACTGCTTTCTTTTCTTTGCGGACGAATCCAGGTAGCCTACGCTCCAGATTCACCTCAATAGAAAATTCTTCGTTTCTTTTCGGCGTACGTTTGGAAGGTTAAGGGTTAGATTTGGTAAGGTTAGGATGTTCCGCGTGTATATTCCAGAGCTTTGCTTTGGTCGGTGGAGAAGCTTTTACCATATGTACAGGAGCGATGTGACTTCCTCTGCCTTATATGTTAATGGAAGTTTCGTCAAGTGTCAAACGTCGTTTCTTGGTGTCGACTAGAAATTCATATCCCTACCAGAAGTCCATTTGCAGTCTTTTCATATCTAAGTCCAATAGAATAAATACCCAGAGAAACGGCAACATAAACCTCGAATTTGGAATCAATGATTTCCGCCCAAATGTCGTGATTTCAATGTAGTTGGTAGCTTGAAGTGTAAGTATGGAAAATTTTCGACCAAATCTGGCTTTACTCTGAGGAATGAAACTAAGCGCAGTACTGATATCCACCAAAATATCTATGCCTGAAGTTCTGTTGTTATCATAAATCACGCGACTGTTTAAGCGCTTATTCGCCTCCCATATTTATGGGAGTTTGTTCAGTTCACGCATATAATGGATTTAACTAGCTACTACACGTTGATGATGTAAAATCTAGTGAGAAATCAAAGAAGACCCAAATGTGTGTGCACTTGAAGCGCACTTATATGTTCTGATCAGCTGGTCAGAAAAATGGCTGATGTCCATTAACACGACCAAGTATGTCTTCATGCACTTTGGGGATACAAAGGTTAATAGGTACAGAATAGGGGAAGTGCCTGTACCTGTGGTCCAGTCTCACAGGGATCTTGAAGTGACAGTGGGTCACTATCTTAAGACCATGGCTCACTGCCGGGACGTTTCATCTAAGGGGTTAGGAACGCTACGGGATTTAAGACGGAGATTTATCAGGTTAGATACTACAATGTTCACTATAGTAAACACAACCTTAGTGAGAAATAAACTTGAAAACTGCATTCAGATTGCAAGCCCCTGTTGAAACAGTGACTCAGATAACTTGGAAAAAGACAAAGGGCAGATACCCGTGCAATTCCAGAACTCCAGGTTTTACCATGCAAAGAGTGACTTGAAAGGCTAGACCTGTTTACTCTGTCTTACCACAGATTACGAGGTGATTCGACCTTTATGTATAAAATATCAAAAAATGATTTTGAAGCTTACATATCTTTTATTTCTTGCTGTCAGATCGAGAGAACTCAGATGGCATACAGGAATGTAAAAAAGCCAAGAATGAACAAAATACCATAACATATAAGTTTTCATATCAAGTCGTTAATTCTTGGGACTAGTTACTTGAAGAAGTAGTATTCACCTCCTCAATTAACTCGATCAGGGAAAAACTAAACACTCGCTGAAGCCTATCATAAACTGGATGATATAAAATATAGACCTTTGATCCTCAATTCACGAATACGAATCTAAATTTACCTTGAGAATGAAACCATGAATGTAAATGTATACCACACATACTGAAATCAAGTATTCGTTCAAAGGCAGTGTAATATTTTGATTGAGATTTTTGTTCTTATTACGGGCTCAAAACACAGAAGTTAAAAATTCTTACCTACCTAATTGTATATTGGACGGATGGTTTTTGTTTTAATACCCTATTTACATGATAAAAAAACGTGTAGGGTACGAGTAGTTTTACAAGTTTCAGCTGTTCTGACGGAGTTGCAACTTACACCTTATAAATCTTCACTTCCTATCAAGTAACAGTAAGTATATAATGTTTTGCTATTAAGTTGTAGTGTGTGAAGCATTCGTTACTTTAGCAACAAATGATGAATACGCATGTGGTGCTCTTGTTTGGGCACATTCATTGCGTGAAGTAAAGACGACGAGACAGGTTGTGTGTTTGGCAACAAAACAGGTTTCAAAGCAAATGCTGTATGAATCAATTGCTGTTATTGTATTATTCTTAGAGATATTATGGGGTCTGTATTTGACCATGTAGAATTCGTTGATGTACTTGATAGCAAAGACGAAACGAACTTAGCATTACTTTCGAGACCAGACTTGGGGGTAACCTTCACAAAGCTTCATTGTTGGAGATTAACTCAGTATACGAAAGCTGTTTTTATGGATGCTGACACTATGGTAATTTACATTATTGGTTGCTGATATTTGAACTAATATTGATTTTTAACATACAACTCACTTGCACGGAGATTTATTAGGGTTTAAATAAAATAGCTAGCATTAGTCAAAGTGATACTGTGATTTCATGCTTCTGTAATTAGTTTTTTGAACTGATTAACTGCTTTTGGTTGAGTCATTCGCCAGCTACAAATCTTAACGACCCTAAACTGATTGATCTGAACTGTCGTTCTAGTGTTATTTGTAAGTTAGTGTGTAACAAACTAAAAACGCGTGACATCCCTTGCTCTCTGTACTCATTGACGATGTCGTAATATATTGGTATCTTTTATGTCCCTTTCGTTTTATTCAAAGTTTCTTCACCCAACGTGTTCTCTGACTTACACTAAGTCTCATTTTAAGTGTGTAATGATAGGTTTACACAGCACATATCTTCATTATTTATCTCTCATTTGTGCACCGAAAGTGAATTATGTTTTTGTCTTACTATTTACCTCAGTAACTATGAGGTTTTTTTCAATATACTACGTTCTTATATTGAGCACTAAGTATCTGTAATGGGAGTGATAAAAAACACGTATTGCTGCTCTTATACAGCGAGAGGTTTTAGTCCGCTCTGTTTTGTACTACATACGGTGATTCACTAAACTTACGATATAGTGTGAATGAATTGATTTAGTGATCATTGTGTTAATCTTACTTTAAACGAAGACGTAGTTATATGTAAGATAACATTTTGTTGCTTGAGTCTACAAAATGGGAGCTTGTTACTTTCATGAAAGAAGTGCTTAGTCTCCTCGTTTGTTTCTTGTCTAGTTTGATATTTACTGACTTTTAAGTTTTGTTTACACTTTCTTGTTTCTTGATAACGTGCAAAGTTTTACTTTGATAGTAAGCGAGAACGATCAAAGGTCTAAAAACATTCTACCACTAGACCCTTTAATTGTTTTTTCCCATATAGTGGTTCGTATTGCATTTACATAGGTCGAACAGACTTTGGATCTACTTTGTTCATTATTTCTCATGTTTCATAGATTCACTGATTACTCTGTATTAAAAACACACTTAACAGGCGTAGTCCATTTTTATGTCTGACTTTTAACAAATAAAACGTTGAAATGATTGCCTGTTTTCCGTTTGTGTGTTCTATACTAGGTATTGAAAAATATTGATGATTTATTTGAGCGGGAGGAACTCAGTGCTGCTCCGGATCCAGGTTGGCCAGACTGTTTCAATTCCGGAGTTTTTGTTTTCAAACCGTCATTGGAAACGTACAAGAAGATACTAAGTTTTGCTGTTAGCCATGGAAGCTTTGATGGGGGCGATCAAGCAAGTTTTAATATTTTTACCGTGATAGTGGAGAAAATTTGCTGCTTAGGTGTATGCTTTTAGTGGAGTTTCGTTTTATGACTTGGGTGGTTTGATCTTGGAGCTCTCGTTGTTTTTCTGAACGATATCATTAGCGCAAACTTGAGGTAGAAGTGAAGGGTTCGCATTTCTTTACACATGACTCAGCCTATTCTATCGACCTCGATCGTTTATTGTCGACGTTTAACCTGTTGTTGTCTGTTTCTTTATTTTGTTTGTATCTCCTTTTGATCTGATCCTCAGTCCTATATTTGTCTACGCGTTTTCCGATTCGTCGATGGACTGGATAGATTTAACTGTGTTCGTTGGTTGCTAACTGACTTGAGCACCAAGCTTCTAGAAACTCCCTAGTGTTCTAGGTATTCCTCCACTCCATGATTTCAACATTTGTCCAGTCAAATGTGTCCATAGTTGTCCATATTGATTGATGTAACCGAAGGTATGTCATGGCGTATTAACGCCAATTGATGTTCATCCAGACGAAGATAGAGGGGTCGTCCATTTTATCCTATGTAGTGTTTTATGTAATCATAATGGTTTATTTCGTAGGTGACGTTCAGTTTTTCTTCTTTTTTTATTTCATCTTTTGGTTTGGATAGGATTTATCGAAGTGGTTCTACTGATTGTGCCTTACGCCTTCAATTTTCGCTTTGTACTTTTTGATATGTTTTTACGCGTAGTAGAATGGTCTGTTTGCTAGTTTCTGTACTCGATTTTGTTTCTACAGATGAGTTGGCTTGACGTTTGTTTCTGAATTTGTGCAGTGAGCCGTTCTTTTGGAAGATATTCGTCAGACATTTTTTTCTCTCTGCAGTATATTTACCCCTCCTCTCGACTAAAGTTTGTACGCGGTTGATTTTGTGGATCCTTGAGTTGTTGCCACCGTAGTTGAGAATTTGGTCTGTGTAGTTTGGCTTCCGATATACTTTAGTCCTCCGTTTTCCTGTATTGGTTCTGGTGATCAGTACACCCAAGAATGATAGTCTGTTGTTCGACTCCTTTTCTATTGTGAATTTTACATAATCGAAGACGTTGCTGATCAGATTGTGGTTATTCTTCAGCTCTTCCTTTTTGGTGTTGATGAATGTGTTGTCCACAAAACGAATCTACATTTATGACTTGAACATTGGTGAAATCGAAGCTTTCAGTCTCTGCATTACTGATTCTGCGATAAGTCCTGATATTAGTAATTCTATCGGTGTTCCTTTTGTTTATTCGTAGATTTCATTGAGTCAAAAATATATTGTCAGACATTAATAGATGAGTTGTAGTAGACTTTGAAGCCTCATTTACTTAGGGAGATTTGTATCATTTTTGAGGAGCAGGAATATAGTTTCTTTTGCCAAGCTTGATTCAGTTGAGGTGAGTAAGGCTGCTACGTCGGAGCATATAATTATTTTGTCGTTGTTGATCTAAATCTCCTTAGTCCTATCCAAGAATTGTATGGGAGGTTTGATGGAGTGGTTGGATGGATCTACCTAATGTTTAAATATTGAAATTTATTGATACTTTGTATGTTGATGTTCCGAGACGTGATACGATTGGACCTAGTGGAATGTTTGGTTTGTATATTTTTGGCCTACCGTAGAGTCGGAGTACAGGTCTACTAGATTTCATTCTTCATTGATTTTGGTTTGATATTTGACCTGCTTTAATAAGTTTGTTTAAGATCCTTGATATTTACTTGTGTTGATTGTTTTATATATGCTTTTATTCTCAGGTAGTTCGTCGGATTTACTGATATACTCTTCCTTATAGTAAATCTTTTCTCCACTAGAACTATGACAATATATTTCCTACTTCTGAGTTTCTTTAAGGCCTTTCGTTCTTGTGCGGTCGGTTAGGTGTTATCTTTCTTCTTTCGAGTTGGTGGTACTATGGTTTGGCTTATATCCTGTTGAGTTTCTTCATTTATTCTGGCAGTTTTGAGTGGTAATTCTAGTGCGGCGAAGAATTCTGGTTCTGAGGCGTCACTTGTATTGTAATCTAATCTTTTTGGAATTGTTCTTCAGAGGTTGTTTTGATAGGTTGACCAGGCGATTGTTTGTGTTTTTTTCTGTGGGTGACTTTCAAATCTTGATAGATTTTTCTTTAAGGGTGTCTCTTCTTCATTCTCTGTGTTATCTGCTTGATACCTCGATCGCCGTTGTCCTTCTTTGGTTATCCATGATGTGTTGGTATTTTTGGATTCTGTAATGTTCATAACTTACCATAAGGTGTACCATTTTCCTTCCACCTTGGTTAGCTATTAATCGTCCACTTGGTCAGTTGATCGGTGTTCCGTATCTTACACCTTTTAGCAAAACATGCGGATGAAGATACTCTTGGATAAGGTAAAGTTCTCGAGTGGAAGCCTGTCTTTTGGCGAAAAGTTCCCGTTTTCGAACGACGGGGAGCGCGCTTTACTCATATGATTTTAAAATGATGGAGAAGATTTGTAGTTCATGTGGGTCAGAAAAGGTTAAGGACAAATATAGGACCAAGAATCAGAATCAAAATAAAGGGGCAGATAACAACATGTTGAAGGTTGACAGGAAAAGCTGAGTCATATGTGGAGAAATGCGGATCCTTCACTTCTACTTCAAGTTTGTACTGATGGTGATGTTTAGAAGACCAATGGAAGTCTCACGACCAAATCATCCAGCCCAGGGATTTATTATTGTTTTAACACAGGAGGGTACGAATACAAAATTGTTTTTGTATTACGTCAGTAATCAAGTTTTCTTGAATTTGAATGCATGTTATCCAGTTTTGTGCGTTGGGCTGATTTTATTTGCTAAAATGTTTCTACAGGATTAGCGTATATCGATACTATTACGAATTCTACTACTCTGGCTTCCCACTGTGCTGATGTGTTGTGACAACTTTAACTGATGGATATGTACGCCAGTTCTACGTTATGTATGACCGACTGATATACAGATGATGAGACTACCGAATGGGTTACACTGAAGTTAGGTGTAGATTGCTAAGTGCATATGGTTAGTCCGTCATGTAGTTTGATAATATTTAATGAATAATATAGTTGCAACATAATTTATGGATTCCGTAATAAAATCCTTTTCACAAGACTTATTCAGATTTAGGGATTGTTGATTTATTCTATTTCAGTGCTAAAACTGGGCCATTTTGCGTCCACAATAGTTGTCTGTCCACTCGTTTCTTTCTTGTGAATCTAGATCATAGAATTTCAATCTCGGAAAGTTAGAGAGAATCATTTATATTTGATTTGACAACAGCATGCGAAGTAGTCACTTATCCGAACTAATATTAAGGTGATCGAGCACCTTAAATAAAAGTTTTAAATATTTTGTTTTATTACTTCATATTAAGGAGACGTGTAAATAATTTAGGCATTATACCTGTTACTGATATGAAAATGTAGTATTTAATGTTGGATTGAAAATGTACGTGTGGATTGTGAAAAATTAGTCATGATTTCCGATTTTTCAAAAGAAGTCAACCTTTTTTTCCACCTTTTTATTTTCAGGGTCTGCTGAATATCTTCTTCTCCGACTGGGCAACCAAAGATATTCGTCTTCATTTACCGTTCATTTACAATGTCATCAGCCAAGCATTTTACTCCTATCCACCTGCCTTTATTCATTTTCGTAATACAATTCGTGTTGTTCATTTTATTGGGTCTGAGAAACCTTGGCACTGTGAACTGGACAAATTCGGACAAGTCATTGTTCGTGATCCCACAAGTGTTGGAACTCCTGAATTTTTGCAGCACTGGTGGAATTTATTTATGACCCACGTTCATCCAAAACTAACCCCTGGTGAGGTAAGTGAATTACTCATGAATACGTCCCTCAATACACCATTATTAAACCAAATATAACAACTTGGAACTTTACTTGTATCATTTATCGGACAGAATGGTTCTACAAACCAAAAATAATCATATCTTGTTGAAAAATGAATCTCTTCAAACCTTTGAGAAATATTAAGGAGTTTAATTTTTTAATTATGTTATTTATTAATAACGACTGAAAACTGTTTTGTAGTTTTACTTTATATTTACCGTGTGTTATAAGTAAGGTCAATAGCTCCATGTTCAAAACCATACTTTCTGAGTGAGTACTGTCAAAGTTCCAATTTTGTATTCGGTTATCACTGAAAGGCTGAATAACTTGATAATACCAAATCCCTTCAAATTCTCTTTGTGTTTTATAACATGTGAGAAGTGTTTATCAAAACTTCTGAATTAAGGTAGTCTATTACCTGTCAGGTTAAGCACTAACTTCTGTCGTATTAAGAACCTAAAATTTACCTATGTGGATGCTTCATATGATCAGTTTATGCTTTTTATTTACCCTAGATACAAGTTTGTGGGAATCAGTTGTTTAGAGGAAAAACTAAGTTCACTGGAATGTTAGATCACAAACGATATTTAATAGTATCATTTACTTAATTTATTGGTTCAGATCTAAAATAGATCTTCCCATATATTAAGTTTCTATTCTAAATAGTATAGTAGCTAGTAGGTATTTGGAATTAATAGGATCATATAACATGGTGAGCACTTTTCCTATCGTAGGTAACGCATATTCGCTTGATACTATTACAAATTCTTTCAAAATTCATCAATAATAATCCTTAAATTGAGTCGAGCATAATTAATTACACTCACTTGTTGTATGTAATAATCTCTATCCTTTGTTTATGGGAATAAGTTTCACTCTTTGCCACCAAATAATACTAAATGAAAAGCTAGTTACCACACAAGAGTATTGAACAGTTAATGTGAGTTATCATTCATTATCAAAAACAATAGACCCTAGTGATAATAATTTCATCAGAAGTTACGTAAGTACCGTTGCTTAAATTTTATTGGTTTGTGAGATCAAACGTATTGATAGAGGGGGGCAGATTTACTATGCTGCAAACCCATCAACTGTAACTCTATCGTCATGTTATTTTAAAGTTAATAGCTTTATCTCAGATAAAGGAACCACGTTTTACCACTATTTCTAAACTGACACGAAATAAGTATACATCTCTCCTTGTTTTTAAGATGCCTTGTCTACACTGTATTGTTTTAAAATGGAATTTGTCACGTTTGTGATGTTCCTAATTTGATGGAAGTCTCAACGCCTTAACTTTTACAATAATAATAAAACTCACACTTTACTAACGAAATTTTATGTTGGAGACTTCTAACCATATTTATCACATGTTCACCCGTCTGGGCTTATGAAAGCGAATTTGTTTCATTAATATTTCACTGAGGTTACTATTTACAGTTTTGAATGGAAGGAGACATTTTACATGGATATTCTTTTGTTATTTTGAATATAGCTGGTTTGTTAAAAAGTTCATTTTTGTTTTCCTTTACAAAAATCAACCGTTGAAATGATGTTTGTCTGTCCTAATTGACTTTTTATAGACTTTATCAACGCTGCAGGTAAGAATTATTCTGTGGATGTTGTCGATGCTCTGAAGTCGTTATATCACCTATGTATCTGCCATTACATTTTAACTGTAGTTGGTTTATTCTAACATTAATTATTATTTTTTTATAGAGTAGTGAAATGGTTTACTTGTCTTTTTATATATTTCCGGAAAAAATTAACAGAGCGATTTTGTGGGTAAATTGGCTCAGATTGAGATAAGTCAATCTTCCTCAAGCTTGACTCAAGCCAGTGATGAATCTGAAAGACAATTGGCATGGGAACGTGGGCAAATGGATTATATGGGTTCTGATTCATTTGAAAAAATACAAAATCTTCTGGAATCAAAAATCAAAAAATAGAAACTAGTATATAGTAAGTAAGTAAGTAGCAATTAGCAGCAATACATATGAGAGTAGACGCACAAGTTATGCAGACTGAGCATGCATGCATACTTACTAACATTTTGCTACGCATTGAATACCCAAATTTTTAACTGCTGCTCACATGTTTTGATACATCAGTCTTATAAACAAACAGTAATAACTCCTAATGATTGCAATATCTCTTGTTCTACATAGATTAAAAAGAGGTATACCATAAACTGATTTTTTGAATTATTCTGCCTTAAATTATTCCTAATTCATTTTGCTTATATTTCTGCTCATTACTGTTGGTTTTTGATTTTGTGGTTACTTTTCATTGATAATCTTGTGGATATATTGGACCAATGATATATATATAATTACCAAGTATTTCTTCAGATTATTTCAATAGAATTAATAACTCATACTATTTCTATGATTTATTTCATTCTCACCATTTTGGTTATCATATTCTTCTATGTAATTTTGAAGTGTTTATCTTGACTATTTAAAGTTTCCAATTTTCCTTTTTATTTCACTTTAATCTACTTTCGTGTTTTTATGAAAAACTACTTTGTATTTGAGTTATATATATATATGTATTGTTGAAGTTAGTATAATAGAATATTGTTTACTTATGGCAAGTACATATGTAGAATGGTTCGATTTTTGTTCTGGTGAAATATTTCCTCTTGAGTTTTCAAACGTTTTCCTTAAATTAGTATCTGATATTGTTCCACTAGCACTTTATCATGTGTGAAAGATTATTTCTTCTATCACATTATTCATTTCTTTTCTTTTTACCATTACTTTCATGAATTTAGGCGTGCTTCTTTCTTGTCATTGTAGCTATAAAAGAAAAAAAAACAATAGCCTAATCAGTTATGATTTTTGCATTACTTTGATATCCACTCTTTTTTGTTGTTGTTGTTCTTGTTGATAAAGATGTCTTCCATTCATAATGTTTTATGGAAAGTAAAGCAACCTGTAAATTTTCTTCATGTGTTCCTTACGTTTAATTTAGTGAAATAGTAAACAGAAATTATTTATATTTGAAAGAAAAACAATTTATTCAATTTTTCATAAATGTATTTAAAGATGCTCTCTAACAAAACAAAACAAAAACAGTCCAAAATTTATTAGCTTTCGCAAAAATGAAGATAAGTGAGAATTGTTATTATTCGTCAAAGAAAAAATACATTCTCAGGAATCATTTTTTTTTGTTAAGTAAAAATAAATATTTTAATTCAATGCGTAGTCAAGTTTATCATTTTATCCATCATTTCTTACTTGATGTACTATAGATCCAATGTAGACGAAGTAATTAGAATGGTATTAAATATTAGTAAATAGTTTTTTTCAAACATATGATAAGCTTCTTGAAAATATAAGTAATCTTTAAGGAAATGTACCAGTTTGCTTTCACATATGTCGTATATTTCAATTAATGAAGTGAAACGCCATTAAAATTCATTTGATGGATGTTTCTGGTTTCACTTTAAAAGAATTTAATTTGTCGAAACATTTCTCTGTTGTTATACTGCAAACTAATGTATATTTTCGAATGAAGATATCTGGTCGTGTTACAATCGTTTAAAATAGTAAATTTATTTGATCCCACTCTTATTCTTAATAAGTTTCCTTTTTTCGCTCAGGTATTTCTGTTACCTTTCAACAACAATAAAATACCAAAACTCAGGTGATTTATGAACGTTCTTAGTTTATAAAAAAATTGTCATCGTCATTTGGTTTTCGAAAAAATATGGTTTGATCTTGGTCAGATTATCAACTAGCCACTGATTCGTTAGAGAACTGATAAGATTTATTTGGTAGCTATTGTAAGAAAAATAGTCGGACATGTAAATAACTTCGACAGTATATAACGTTCTCCAAAAGATTTTAATAATCTAGTCTTCATTTGAATTTCTATAACAAATGAGCATAATTCGACAGGGCAACTAAACTTAATATCACGAAATGTTTGTATCTTTTAGCTAAACGTTTTGTAAACTTGTTATTATTTAACTATAAAATATCGTCCAGGAGAAATAAGGAAAATAACACCGTGCTTTAATTTATAGATTTATACTTTCGTGACAATAAAGCCGTTAAAAGATTACTAGATGACAATAATATGACTATAAAATGTAGTTATTTTTTTCTTTTGGTAAAGTAAACGTTATTTATGTTAGTCGACAAAAATCTTTGAAGAATTTATCTGTTCAAAGAAGTTATTGTAATACTGATCACTCAAGAACCGTTAATTGTAACATTCTTTATTGAAAACTACCTTAAATTCAATATCATGATTATCATTTCCAATCAACACTCAGAAAAGCATAATACATTAATATCTTCAGTGGAATAATAAACCTATTTACTCTTAGTTTGGCTTTTAAATAATTAAATCTCTTAAAAAGTTATGACCTACAGTATGTTACATCTTTGGTGATTTTATTCGTATTACTTAATACCAGACAAATTCTCTTACTTCACTTGTTGATATTCTTATTGCCTTATGATTCTGAAGTGAATTCACGTAATAAATCACTTAAACAACCTGATATATGTGTATTTTTTTGCTTTAGTTAAGAACTATGATACTTTAACACTATATTTTCTATACCAAAAAATGATTACCAATTCTAGTTACTTTCACGGCAATATATATATTCACTGTAAATGTTTGTAGTCAACTTATCGATCTATAGAAATTATGCCCATGATAACAAACTTTTTTTTTCCTAAAGATTTTATACGTAAATAACTAAACAGAAGAGAGAGAGAGAGGAGAAGAGAAAAATTTAACGATTTTTAAAGAAATAATTATTAGTTCGTCAATAAATAGAAATATTGTTTTCTTTTATTTTGGTAATATAAAATTACCATGACAGCTAAAACAACATTATTCAACTAGAATATTGAATAGTTTTGTTAGAATTTAAGTTAATACGTTGCTTTAAAAAAATAAAGCTTTTTATTAAAGCGGATATTTACTCATATACTGTTTTCTTTCCAGTGTTTACTTTTTACCCGTTAACACTGGAAAAGAATAAACACACTAAGTTTGTCATTCGAACAGTGAAGAATAAAATGATGAAGCCAAAATTATAAGAAATAATAGATCCATCAATCAATTAAGATTTTCTAATAAATCAAATCATTTTATTCTTATCAGTTTAGGGGTTGTGGAGATTGTTAAGTTTTTGATTGAAATCATGAGTCAATTGAAGCTAGATCACCATGGAAAACCTGGAAGCACTGAACGGCCTTTTCGTTCTAGTATGGGACCCCTCAGCACTACGCATCCACGATCCCGCACCCTGAGAGATTCGAACCCAGGACCTATCGGTCACTCGCCAGGCACTTAACCAACTAGACCACTGAGCCGGCATCCAATGGTGTTAATGTCTAACCTCAACCAATCCACGAAATTGCGCGACCATCTTCCATTGTACTGAGGTAGACACCTGTTTCTACCCGATACAGATTAGCTCCACTGGTCACAGCTTCCTACCAGAACTCCGAGAATTTTCTCACGAAGCTAGTCACTAGTGAGCACATACTAGGACGAGACGATCTTTCAGTGCTTCCAGGTTTTCCATGGTGATCTAGCTTCAATTGACTCATGATTTCAATCAAAAACTTAACAATCTCCACAACCCCTAAACTGATAAGAATAAAATGACTTGATTTATTAGAAAATCTTAATTGATTGATGGATCTATTATTTATTATAATTCTAACTGGATCATGATTCGATAGAGATAAAATGTAAAGCAATTAGTTCCTTTCATAAATTTTGATAGAATAATGAAAAAAAGAACTTCATCTTAAAAATGTGATGTATTTGCGCTATACATTTAAAACAGTCTGGTCACAAACATACTTGTCAAGGCATTTTATATGAAAATTAATAAAAGACAGTCAAATACTTGATAATCAGAATAAGTTCCTGTCGGAAGTTCTATTCAAAATTAATGTTATATAATGAGAATCCAGGGTAAATCCCAATCTAGTGAAGCTCCTTAAAGTGAATGTCATAAACAAAGACGAATTTGATTTGCTAAAACCTAACAACCCATTACGGCTATTACTTGTATGTCGTTCACCTACACACGAATTAGCAACACCGTAGAAAAAACTACTTTTATTATGTTAAGTTCAGTTCACGTTTGAAGGTGAACATTTTTGAGAAGGTGATAACGTTACTATGGGTAGCCGTTCGGGACCTCTCTTAGCTGATGAATTTATGCCATATACTGATATATCTCGAGTAAGCTCATTAGTGAGGTAACCCTTCATAGGAGATAAATGGATAATGTGTTAGATATATGCGATAAAGATTTTGATGTTGCCCAGTAAACAGCTAAACTCAATAGTGTACAGAATGATATCGTAATGACGTATGGGGAAGAAAGTAATGACCGGCTGCCCTTTTTAGACATACTTTAAAGTTGAAGGGAGGATCGAACTACAAGGCAGTCAGTTTATAGGAAGCCAACGTAGGCAGATCAGTATTTAAATTTTTGCAGTTTCCGTCCATTGCAACACAAGCGAGCCTTGGTTAAGTACGTCTTTAATAGGATTCAATGAATCTGCACCACAGATACGGTTGAATAGGACTCAAAGCTACTAAATGACACACTTATATTAAATGGTTATCCACTAAAGTTTGTCAGTAGATGCAAAAGTCACTCAGCACCAAAAGCTGTCTTTCATTCTGTTCCGAAGAAAACTGTTTATATCTCTCTAACATTTAGGGGTGAGCCTAACAGTATAACTTTAAGATAGAGATTAAAAGCAGCCGTCGAGAAAACTTATTACCTCGCTAAACTGGTTGTGATCGTAAGGACTTAAACCATGATTCCAAATAGACATAGGCAATGCACGAATGATTACGTCATATCCCATTACATTCGCCAATTTACATATCTGTGCGGACATATACATAGGAAGGAGTAATCAAACAATGAAATCAAGGATTATGGAAGATATGCCGAGATGGTTGGAAAATCAGTTAATGTTAAATGTTCCGATTTATGTGGGAAGTAGAAAATCATGTTCATCGTGGTAGGACGCACAGAACTGAAATCGATTCAGACTTTTAAATGTTGTATAGAAGTTTTCAAGGACGAACTCTCAGGTTTATAGAAGCCTTGGGTATTCGAAAATTCAAACCCCGCTTATGTGTACAGAAATAAATTTGTCGTAATCTTGAATTTCCCGTGGTAATCGTTAAGAAATCTTATGGCATGGGATAATGCGATAATTTCTTATCCTTTCCACACGATGTTAATTTTTTTCTTTCTCTTTTATTAACAATTCTTACTTGCTTTACTTGAACCCTCATTCAATCGGCCTTTATTAATTTTCATATAATATACCTTGACAAGCGTATATGTGACTAGATTATTCTAAACGTATAGCGCAAATACGTCACATTTTTCAGATCAACTCCATTTTCTCACTGTTTTATCGAAGAGATAAAATGATTAAAATTGTGTGATTCAATCTGTTACCAATGATAAAACTACTAAATTTGGAATTCAAAAGAAAAGTATTTGAATGTCATAAATGTGTGCTTTAATTTGCGCATTTTACACATTTAATTAATAATTAATTTTTGTCACATCGCGGTTAATGGAGGTTTTCAAAACAGTTACAACTTCCTGAAAACTTATTAATTAATTAATTTATTTATTTGAGCACGTGAACATTGGTACCAAATACATATGCGCCACACAATAGCAATGAGGCCAGTGGCAGTTATCATTAATTTGTGTGAGGGCTGAGATACTGCCCATGTACCCAAACCAAATCAGGTGGTTTCCTTATGTGATCACACCCAGAGCATTTAACCTGAAGGTCTAATCCGCAAGGTAGGGGATCAACGTAAGGAGATGCAGTTTCATGGTAGCTGGTGACCAACAATTGGTTCATACGTCATTTATTCCTTCAGGATCCTGGAGCCCATGTACACCATTAATTTAGAATCAAGGTTTTCCAACTCCCCTAGGTGGACTCACCGTGTTCACCAGCCCGATTAAAGCATTGGATATTCTATTTTCATCCTCTTGACTTCGTAAACAACATCCTAATGAAAG